CCCACTAACAGAGGGGGGGGGTGTTAGAAACTGTTGAGAAAGCATTCCAGGGTGAAGGGGACTGAGAAACTGTTTAAAGGTGGGCGGAGCAAAGTGCCTTTGTGTGTCAAGGGATATAAAAGCTGTATGTATGTTTTTTGGCGCCAGAGCTCTCCATGATTAAACATACAGATCATTCTTGCAGGTTGTGGACCTTCGTTTAATTCATGATTAAACCAGAGTCTTACACCTTCTGGGAATTATTCAAAGCATTAAGTTTGATTAATTAGAGATAGAAATTCTCGTGACAAAATTAAAAATTTTAATTATCACATTTACATAAGTATTCAGACCCTTCACTCAGTACTTTGTTGAAGCACCTTTGGCAGTGATTACAGCCTCGAGTCTTCTTGGATATGACGCTACAAGCTTGGCAGACCTGTATTTGGGGAGTTTCTCCCATTCTTCTCTGGAGATCCTCTCAAGCTCTGTCAGGTTGGATGGGGAGCGTGGCTGCACAGCTATTTTCAGGTCACTCCAGAGATGTTTGATTGGGTTCAAGTCTGGGCTCTGGCTGAGCCACTCAAGGACATTCAGAGACTTGTCCCGAAGCCACTCCTCCGTTGTCTTGGCTGTGTGCTTAGGGTCATTGTCCTGTTGGAACGTGAACCTTCACCCCAGTCTGAGGTCCTGAGTGCTCTGGAGCAGGTTTTCATCAAGGATCTCTCTGTACTTTGCTCCGTTCATCTTTCCCTCGATCCTGACTAGTCTCCCAGTCCCTGCCGCTAAAAAACATCCCCACAGCATGATGCTACCACCACCATGCTCCACCTTGGGGATGGTGCCAGGTTCCTCAAGACGTGACGCTTGGCATTCAGGACAAAGAGTTCAATCTTGGTTTCATCAGACCAGAGAATCTTGTTTCACATGGTCTGAGAGTCCTTTAGGTGCCTTTTGGCAAACTCCAAGCGGGCTTTCGTGTGCCTTTTACTGAGGAGTGGCTTCCGTCTGGCCATAAAGGCCTGATTGGTGGAGTGCTGCAGAGACGGTTGTCCTTCTGGAAGGTTCTCCCATCTCCACAGAGGAACTCTGAAGCTCTGTCAGTGACCGTCAGGTTCTTGGTCACCTCCCTGACCAAGGCCCTTCTCAACCGATTGCTCAGTTTGGCCGGGCGGCCAGCTCTAGGAAGAGTCTTGGTGGTTCCAAACTTCTTCCATTTAAGAATGAGGGAGGCCACTGTGTTCTTGGTGACCTTCAATGCCAGATATATACTTTTTTTGGTACCCTTCCCCAGATCTGTGCCTCGACACAATCCTGTCTCTGAGCTCTACGGACAATTCCTTCGACATCATGGCTTGATTTTTGCTCTGACATGCACTATGAACTGTGGGACCTTATATAGAATTTTTTTATCAAAATGCGTTTTTTGGCAGAAATGCCTTCTGGAACATGTGAACTTTCATGTTCCTTAATAAAACTTGTATGCCATCTGTAAATACAAATAAACAATTTAGAATTACGAGCCTAGTTGGTTTAGCCACGGTAAAAGACAGCAAACTTACCGCTAGCCATGATTGGCTGAGATAATGAGTGGGCTGGACATGCAGAGAGATGAGTTCGGATTGGTCTGCCACGTAGCACGCTTGTCTATTTGAGCTGGTCAGTAGGTGTAGGTAATCCTGTCTAACGCGGCTTTAAAAATATATATATTGCGTAGTAGAACTGCATATGCGTTGCTCTCCACTTTCTGGAGGACCGAGTTTTGAAATCAGTGGAATTAGAGTATGATAGCTAAGGAGATGGAGAAAACACCTGTCTCCGGATTACATCTTCAAACTAAGGGCAACCATGGCATCCGTGACAGACGGAGAAGCGTCCATCCATGTATACGGGTAAGCTAGTCTAGCTAGCTAAATTTTCAGATATTCAACGTTTCTAATTGTCAGAAAGTCGTTTTCATTTCAAGTTAAAAAGTGTACTGTTAGATAGCTAGCTAACGTTAGCTGGCTGGCTGGCTGGCTAGCTAACGTTACGTGTATGATCTGCGTAGTAACATTATTCGTATCTCAGAGCCATTTGCTTTGCTAGTTATAGCCTAATATTAGCTAGCTAACATTGAACCTGGTTGGTTAGCTACCTGGAGATTCATGCAGGGTAGTAACGTCATGCATTGGGATTATGGTTCATTGTTTAACTAGCTAGCTACATGTCTTAACAAAATACTATGCAAGTATCCATTTCAATAGAATGTTCATGATGTCACTGTGACAGCAGTTGATAGACGTAGCTGGTAAATCTATCTACTCGGATTTCAGAGCACTCTCGCCTGAGTGTGCCAAAGTGCGAACGCTCAACACCCGCTGAATATGGCCGGTGTCAGTAAACGTTGGCAAAAAAACGTAATTAAATTGTTGCCAGCAGCACAGTTGCAGTCACCAACTGAAAAATACACTACGAAAGAAAGCAATGGCTATCCCCTTTGCTGATATGAACTTGAGGACTGATTCAGCTTTTAAACTTTATTTGCCGAGATGCACCACTTTCTCAAGCCCCAACAAGTAATAAAAATGGCAGATGCATTCACACTGTAAACAGGGCACATGGAAAAATGCCTGCCCTCAATATACAACGGTCATAAAACAGAATACTTGTTAAAAGTGTTCTAAATTAAGAGACACAGACAAACACACAAACATATTCTGCGGCAGGAGTTAGGGGGATCTGACAGTCCATTAGGGCTTAAGTGTCAAATCAAAGCCAGTGCTTCATTAAGATCACATCAGTAAACGTTGGCAAAAAAACGTAATTAAATTGTTGCCAGCAGCACAGTTGCAGTCACCAACGCTTTGGATAACATAAAAACAGCCTAACCAGCTCTGCTAGGGCGGGTAAAATGGTCAGAGTGAGTTGTTCTCTCATTTGTGTCTGGAAGTAGCTAGCAAGATAGCCAAATTAGCTTGGGTGCCTGACTGCTGCTGTTAGGACAGAACGCTCGGCTCAACCCTTAAAGATATGGGTGGGGCTAAAGCTTAGGAGGGTGTGAACGATGCTGAATGGGGGTAGACAAAGAAGAGCTCTCCAATAGGTGTACCAAAACATTCGAAGGCCATTTTCTCAAAAGTAAGGTTACAAGTTTATCAACTTTCAAAGCAGAATTACTTTCCCATTGTTCCTCAACTGTAGTGTATGATATACCATTTTCTAGCTCCGAGTCTCTACTTTTATCCAATGTAAAAAAACACAATTTCAAATTTTGCTACATAAGACCGAATTGAGCCGGTCGCTCACAAATAAGGTATTTCTGTTTTTTCTATTTTTTAAACATTTGCATACATTTCTACTAACTTGTTTTCACTTCGTCATTATAGGGTATTGTGTGTCGATTGATGAGGAATTATATTTTTAAAATCCATTTTAGAGTACGGCTGAAACATAACAAAATGTGGAAAAAGGGAAGGGGTCTGAATACTGTCCAAATGCACTGTATGTCTCAAACTATTGTGTTACTGCTTCGAAATGTTTGGTAATCAATAATATAAATGTCTCTCTGCAAATACTGTAGGAAGAGTTAACACCGAAATTGAGTGGCACTCAACCATCATGCTAGAATACGTTAACAGGGGAAAGTATTCCACAACAAGCTAAAACTATAATTTCATCATGTAAGGAAAGCACCATTCACTGCAGGTGCAATTCACTGTGTGTGTGAGTGTCAACCACTATGCGTGACCTTCTGATGAGAGCTCTTGTAGCCTACATGCTGTGTTCAAAATACTTCTAAAGCAATTTGAACCAGATGCTCAAGACCGAAATCCTTATATACCACACAACATATTCCATTCACTCAGATAGCAATTCACGGACAGGGTCAATGTTATAGAATGTAATGTTACCCTTAGTAGCTGTACAGGTACTAGTGGTAGCACTGTAGCATGCCAGCAGAGGTGGTGGTTAAAGAAAATAACTTGAAGAACAATCAAACTATAGAAATGTGGTTGTCCATTGTCTGTTGAGGTAATGTAGAGGCAGGAGAACATGTTGCTCAGCAAAGTAAGTCCAATGCTAAATCTGACTTTGCAACCTGCAATAAAGTATGTATTTGTGGCAAAATGTAAGTAAATTAGACAAACTTTTATGCCTGTGCCCAGCGCTTCTAAAAATGTATCTTTCACTCAGCTCGTCACGTGCGCACAGGCCCAGACAGGCAGTGTTGCAGCGTGAGGTGGGATAGGCTATCAGATTCGTAGTTCTTTGACTTAGTGTGATTAATTTACCATCCATGAAACAAAACAGCAGAAAAACTTTGAAAACGGCTACTGCAGCATTTATTTTGCTATACTGTAAATGTAATGATACTTGACAATTTTTATTCACAAATGCAAGTGAAATGCTCACACTGTGGAGCCCTGACCACCTATCAACATGGCTGGTGAAAGTAATCTTACCCGCCAATGCCAAAATCTACCCGCATTTGGTGGGTGGCGGGTGTTAATTTTAGGCCCTGGACAAAATCAATCCCCACTGATTGATCCCTCCCTCCCTCCTTACCAAGCAATTTCAACAATAGCTCAGACAACGGCTGCTACACAAATGTAAGGATGCAGGAAGGGTTTTTGTGTTTTAGGAAATAACCATTGATTGGAGTCTTAAGAATGAACAGAGGAAACATCAATGTCAGGTTGTTCAAAGGCTGGAGGAGAGGAAGACTATTCATCACAATGCACGCTAAAGATTACTTTACTTTTACATTGACTACTGCATTTCAACTTGCCCTTTAACAAAACCTGCCATTATTGGCTACAGGATAATGGTAGTGCTGCAATCAAGATAGGAATGCTAACCATCTATCAACATCTATAGTATTGACTGTATGACTGCAAGACCAAATTATAATTGTTAACCAAATCTGTTAGACAATTATCATCATCATTATCAGATCTCTACATCGCTTTATAATGGTATGTATGCATTATAAGCTTCATTGAGCCATTTCTATATCCATTGGCCAACAGAACAGCTTTCTACTTACCTGCGATGCTGGCAAAGATTTCACTGATTCCGATGAGCACATACTGAGGCACCTGCCACCAAATGGGCAGATCTGCTGCGTAGTAGATTACATCTCCAAAGACCTGGTCGATGGTGCCATTAGATTTGATGATCTCAAGTCGTTTTGTCTCCAGTATACCTGTACGGGAGGAGGCACAAAATCTATTTAGGTCGAGATGCTTGAATTATGTCACTGCATATATAAAAAGACACAGATGGAAACAAACTTGTTCCCATCTGTCAGAACTCTTTATTCTGGATTATTAAAATATTTAGATGGTTCTTTAAAACTAATGAGGGGAGAAAAAAATATACACTACGAAAGAAAGCAATGGCTATCCCCTTTGCTGATATGAACTTGAGGACTGATTCAGCTTTTAAACTTTATTTGCCGAGATGCACCACTTTCTCAAGCCCCAACAAGTAATAAAAATGGCAGATGCATTCACACTGTAAACAGGGCACATGGAAAAATGCCTGCCCTCAATATACAACGGTCATAAAACAGAATACTTGTTAAAAGTGTTCTAAATTAAGAGACACAGACAAACACCCAAACATATTCTGCGGCAGGAGTTAGGGGGATCTGACAGTCCATTAGGGCTTAAGTGTCAAATCAAAGCCAGTGCTTCATTAAGATCACATTTGCACGCTCACACTTAGAGATTACAGCAGTTAGTAATGGAAGAGAGAGCCATCAACTCAACAATAACACCCCTAGCAGTTGTCATCTGCAGCCGCTGATTCCTAAAAGCTTTATTCGATAACCATTATCATGGAAGCAGCAGCTATTTCCAGATAACTCCTAGAGACAGCCTCCTATCATCACCCCACACTTAATGCTGTATTTGAGAGGGGATGGGGATTTATAATCTAGCTAGCCTATAATACCGCCTGTCCATCCCAGGCAAGGCGGTCACTGCCCTGCCCAAAGCAACTTCTTACACTCACCATAAACACACATATACTGCTTTTTTAACAACATCATATCAGGCATTTGAGCCCTATCCCTGGGCGAATTATAAAAATACAATAAAAACCCTAGAGCTACTTTTGGACATCTAATATAGAACATATTCAACACTAGCTAAAGCAGATTAGAATTGAAAAAGTTGAGATTGTTGAAACTGATAAAAAAGGCAATGTCATTGGCCATCAAAGGCAATGTCAACGCATCATGTGGTGAGGGCCAGCTTTGTGGTTCACAACTCAACAAGAGCAGGTCGGCATAGCGATAGATGCCAACCCTGTGAACGGAGGATGGCAGGTGTGCAAGGCAGTGTTGATGCTAGCTGTGCCCGGGGCAACAGATACCACTATGGCAGATGCACAGCTGCCCATCTGTCTGTCCTATGGTGTGTGTTTTCTAAATGGTTCATCCAATATGGATGAAAATACCCTTAAATTGTATAATTCAAATCCAAAGCACTGGAGTACAGAGCAAAAAAAAAGTATAATGTGTCACTGTCTCAATACCTTTGGAGCTCACTGTATATACTCAATACATTTCCTTTTCGCAATAGTAGTGGCATAGTGAGCATCTAGACAGCACTGTCTGTGTCCAAAGAATAATTAAAAGTGGTTAATATAACTTTACGATAGCAAACAAATCAAACACTTTTTCTACAGGCACCATTGAAGTTCTGTCTAATCAGACAGGCTAAATGAAAAATCGTACCTCGTGCACACACACACGTTTAGACAGTAAGTTGGTAAGTAGTTCTTCCTGCAGACTGCCTGCGGTTGGCTGTGGTTTATTAATGACGATGCTGCAGTAGTGAGTGGGATCCAGCCAAGCCGGTCTGTCCCTGGGGAGAGGGGGCTATTTCTCTGGGGCCTTCATTAGGCTCTGATGACATCCCCACACGGGGTACCAGCTAGCAGCTAGCTAGAGCCTCGATCACTATCCCTCTATCCACTATCACACAGCAATACACCTCATACAGCAGAATATACATGTAATAACTACAAGAACAAAGCAATGACTATTAGGACTGTGTGTGTGGGGGTGTTGTTTAATGCTACTGTAAAATAAATATTTACGCCACACTAGATATTAATTATCCTCTACAAATGGGTGTTAACAGTGTTCAGCTGTGAAGAATGAACAATTAATTGTCTCCAGGATTCAATATCCCAAATGTCATTGCGGACACCAACACATTTAAAGTGCTCATTATGCTGGAGTGAAAATGAACCGAAGAGGAAAGAGAACTTGGGTTGTGAAAAATAACATGTGCATTTGGTTCTCAAGCGTGCCACTGATTTGAGAAAAGCTTTTTTCGCTGCCTTCTGGCTCATCTCACTCAAAATGTGTTAGCATGAATATATGCTATTCAATCGGCACAGAATAAAAAAAGGTTTTATTCCAAATTGCACATTTCAAACAGTCAATTCAAATTAATTTGAGTAGACTTTATTTCAAAGATAATCCACAGGCTGTTATGCAATAGAAACCGTTTCCTCCAAATGGAAAACATTTTGCAACGAAAATGAGTTTCTATTAGACAAATTTAGGTAGGTCCCACCCAGTTTCGTTTGTTCGGTTTGCTTCCGTTTGGTTCTTAAATGGTAAACGGCTTCCATTGCAAGACTTAATGAATACACCCCGGTTGTCTGGTCTATGAATGTTTAGGATTTTTGAGAAATGATCCCTGTCCGTCTGCCTTTTCCCTCATCAAATAAGTCCTTGAAACTACATTGAAACATGAGCCACATACTGCTAAAATAAAGCCAAGCTACATTAGTATGAGTCATAATACCCATGAAACCTAGTGGTCAAACAGGGAAATGGTTCCAATTGTTTTTCCAGCTTCATGTTTCCCCATAGGTTTTTTTTTTAGAAACACTGTCATGTAGGCTTACCCTGGCGAGACATTTTGATAACCGTGTAAATCTCTCTAGGACAAGGTGACTTATCAATATATTCGCCTGTATTTAACCCACAAAAATGAAATGCTAATTGGCTGCTAATGTGGCTATCATAAAGAACTACAAATGCCATGACGATCTGGACAAAGGTATGATTCTCTGGATTAACTATCTAATGTTACCTAATGTAGTAATTAATAAATTGGCTAAATTTCTTCACATTTTATTGTTCGCATACACATATTTAGCAGATGTTATTGTGGGTGTAGCGAAATGCTTGTGTTCCTAGCTCCAACAGTGAAGTAATATATAACAACTCACAACAATACACACAAATCTAAAAGTAAAAGAATGGAATTAAGAAATACATAAATATTAGGACGAGCAATGTCCGAGTGGCATTGACTAGAATACAGTATATACAGTTGAAGTCAGAAGTTTACATACACTTAGGTTGGAGTCATATAAACTTGTTTTTCATCCACTCCACAAATTTCTTGTTAACAAACTATAGTTTTTGCAAGTCGGTTAGGACATCTACTTTGTGCATGACACAAGTAATTTTTCCAACAATTGCTTACAGACAGATTATTTCACTTATAATTCACTGTATCACAATTCCAGTGGGTCAAAAGTTGACATACACTAAGTTGACTGTGCTTTTAAACAGCTTGAAAAATTCCAGAAAATGATGTCATGGCTTTAGAAGTTTCTGGTAGGCTAATTGACATAATTTGAGTCAATTGGAGGTGTACCTGTGGATGTATTTCAAGGCCTACCTTCAAACGCAGTGCCTCTTTGCTTGACAGACATCATGGGAAAATCAAAAGAAATCAGCCAAGACCTCAGAAGAAAAATTGTAGACCACCACAAGGCTGGTTCATCCTTGGGAGAAATGTCCAAACGCCTGAAGGTACCACGTTCATCTGTACAAACAATATTACGCAAGTATAAACACCATGGGACCACGCAGCCGTCATACCGCTCAGAAAGGAGACGCGTTCTGTCTCCTAGAGATGAATGTACTTTGGTGCAAAAAGTGCAAATCAATCCCAGAACAACAGCAAAGGACCTTGTGAAGATGCTGGAGGAAACAGGTACAAAAGTATCTATACCCACAGTAAAACGAGTCCTATATCTACATAACCTGAAGGGCCGCTCAGCAAGGAAGAAGCCACTACTCCAAAACTGCCATAAAAAAAGCCAGACTACGGATTGTAACTGCACATGGGGTCAAAGATCATACTTTTTGGAGAAATGTCCTCTGGTCTGATGAAACAAAAATAGAACTGTTTGGCCATAATGACCATCATTATGTTTAGAGGAAAAAGGGGGCCCTTGCAAGTCGAAGAACACCATCCCAACCGTGAAGCACGGGGTGGCAGCATCATGCTGTGAGGGTGCTTCGCTGCAGGAGGGACTGGTGCACTTCACAAAATAGATGGCATCATGAGCAAGGAAAATTATGTGGATATATTGAAGCAACATCTCAAGACATCAGTCAGGAAGTTAAAGCTTGGTCGCAAATGAGTCTTCCAAATGGATAATGACCCCAAGCATACTTCCAAAGTTGTGGCAAAATGGCTTAAGGACAACAAAGTCAAGATATTGGAGTGTCCATCACAAAGCCCTGACCTCATTCCTACAGAAAATGTAACAGTCTGATGGCCTTGAGATAGAAGCTGTTTTTCAGTCTCTCAGTCCCAGCTTTGATGCACCTGTATTGACCTTGCCTTCTGGATGATAGGGGGGTGAACAGGCCGTGGCTCGGGTGGTTGATGTCCTTGATGATCTTTTTGGCAGTGTGCCCCCGGTGATGCGTTGGGCAGACTGCACCACCCTCTGGAGAGCCCTGCGGTTGTGGGCGGTGCAGTTGCCGTAACAGGCGGTGATACAGCCTGACAGTATGCTCTCAATGGTGCATCTGTAAAAATTTGTGAGGGTCTTAGGGGCCAAGATGAATTTCTTCAGCCTCCTGAGGTTGAAGAGGCACTGTTGCACACTGTCTGTGTGGGTGGACCATTTCAGATTGTCAGTGATGTGCTCCCTCTGCTGTTTCCTGAAGTCCACGATCTGCTCCTTCGTTTTGTTGACGTTGAGGGAGAGGTTATTTTTCTGGCACCACTCCACTCACCTCCTCCCTGTAGTCTTGCATGATGTCTACTTTGATGCTTATTATCATTTTTTCAAATCGGAGTAAATAGAGAATATATTGATAAAAAGTAACCTTTTCCGAGAGAGATTTACATGGTTATCAAAATGTCATGCCAGGGTAAGCAGGGCCGAAAATTAACATTTTGGCATTGGTGGGTAAGATGTCTATTTCACCAGCCACGTTGGCGGGTGGTCAGGGCTCCATAGTACGAGCATTTCACTCGCAATTGTGAATAAAAATGGTCAAGTATGATCACATTCATAGTAAAATAATTGCTGCAGTAGCCGTTTTCAAAAGTATTTCCGACGTTTTGTTTCATAGCTGGTAAATAAAAAATTGCAGAAAATCAAAGAACTATGAATCCTATATAGCCTATTCCACCTCACGCTGCAACACTGCCTGGCTGCGGGTTGTGCGCATGTTAAGAACTGAGTAAAATATTCATTTTTAGAAGCGCTGAACACAGGCATAAAAGTAGGTCTAATTTACTTGAAACGAACGTCTACTGAAGTGAGACTTTGTCCTTGTGTTTCTTGGCTATTTACATTGTTTGGTTTACAAGCTAGGTTGTTTTTCTGTTTGAGTTTCAACTGCTAGGGAAGAGAAGACAACACTTCTACTAGTCAGACTCAATCTCACAGGCACAAAACATGACTTGAGTCGCACTACCACGTAACCTCCCGCCCTTAAAGGGGCAGGTGAACATTTGTCTCATCTGTGATACTTTGGTTAAAAGTTTAATCATTCAATATACCACATTAGTTACATCTTCTAGTAAAACGTGTATTGTTTTAGAAACATTACAAAGCACGCTCATCCATTTGTTTGTGTTTTGTTGGTGTAATTTTAGCAGCAAAAAAATCTTGCCTGATAAAAATCTGAGTGGCTGGTCAATTTGTTTTATCTACCTGCCACAGTGGCTGGTGGACCAAAAAGTAAATTGTATGCCCTGAGGGTAAACCTACACGAAACACAGCACTTATTTTAAGCGTTTCTAAAATCCCCTATAGGAAAAGTTTATGGTGTAAAACCGATTAGAACCATTTCCCTGTTTGACCGCTAGTTTTTATGGGTATTATGACACCTTCACTGTTGGGCTCTATAGGCTTGCTTGTCCTGTTTGCCTCATGAATCCTGACCAATGATGTGTATAAACCCTTGATTGCTGATGCAATGTAATGGCCAATGACAATGCCATATTGGCACTCCCCAGAAGGAGCAGTACTCATTAGGAATGACTGGAATTCTACAGTATTTCAATAAAATGTTTCAAGGACAAAATTACATGTATTTAAGTATTTATTTGTTGTAGTAGGGAAAGTAACATTAGTACAAGAATATATACAGTGGGGGAAAAAAAGTATTTAGTCAGCCACCAACTGTGCAAGTTCTCCCACTTAAAAAGATGAGAGAGGCCTGTAATTTTCATCATAGGTACACGTCAACTATGACAGACAAAATGAGAATTTTTTTCTCCAGAAAATCACATTGTAGGATTTTTAATGAATTTATTTGCAAATTATGGTGGAAAATAAGTATTTGGTCAATAACAAAAGTTTCTCAATACTTTGTTATATACCGTTTGTTGGCAATGACACAGGTCAAACGTTTTCTGTAAGTCTTCACAAGGTTTTCACACACTGTTGCTGGTATTTTGGCCCATTCCTCCATGCAGATCTCCTCTAGAGCAGTGATGTTTTGGGGCTGTCGCTGGGCAACACGGACTTTCAACTCCCTCCAAAGATTTTCTATGGGGTTGAGATCTGGAGACTGGCAAGGCCACTCCAGGACCTTGAAATGCTTCTTACGAAGCCACTCCTTCGTTGCCCGGGCGGTTTGTTTGGGATCATTGTCATGCTGAAAGACCCAGCCACGTGTAATCTTCAATGCCCTTGCTGATGGAAGGAGGTTTTCACTCAAAATCTCACGATACATGGCCCCATTCATTCTTTCCTTTACACGGATCAGTCGTCCTGGTCCCTTTGCAGAAAAACAGCCCCAAAGCATGATGTTTCCACCCCCATGCTTCACAGTAGGTATGGTTTGGATGCAACTCAGCATTCTTTGTCCTCGAAACACGACGAGTTGAGTTTTTACCAAAAAGTTCTATTTTGGTTTCATCTGACCATATGACATTCTCCCAATCCTCTTCTGGATCATCCAAATGCACTCTAGCAAACTTCAGACGGGCCTGGACATGTACTGGCTTAAGCAGGGGGACACGTCTGGCACTGCAGGATTTGAGTCCCTGGCGGCGTAGTGTGTTACTGATGGTAGGCTTTGTTACTTTGGTCCCAGCTCTCTGCAGATCATTCACTAGGTCCCCCCGTGTGGTTCTGGGATTTTTGCTCACCGTTCTTGTGATCATTTTGACCCCACGGGGTGAGATCTTGCGTGGAGCCCCAGATCGAGGGAGATTATCAGTGGTCTTGTATGTCTTCCATTTCCTAATAATTGCTCCCACAGTTGATTTCTTCAAACCAAGCTGCTTACCTATTGCAGATTCAGTCTTCCCAGCCTGGTGCAGGTCTACAATTTTGTTTCTGGTGTCCTTTGACAGCTCTTTGGTCTTGGCCATAGTGGAGTTTGGAGTGTGACTGTTTGAGGTTGTGGACAGGTGTCTTTTATACTGATAACAAGTTCAAACAGGTGCCATTAATACAGGTAACGAGTGGAGGACAGAGGAGCCTCTTAAAGAAGAAGTTACAGGTCTGTGAGAGCCAGAAATTTTGCTTGACCAAATACTTATTTTCCACCATAATTTGCAAATAAATTCATTAAAAATCCTACAATGTGATTTTCTGGAGAAAAAAAATCTCAATTTGTCTGTCATAGTTGACGTGTACCTATGATGAAAATTACAGGCCTCTCATCTTTTTAAGTGGGAGAACTTGCACAATTGGTGGCTGACTAAATACTTTTTTCCCCACTGTATGTTTTTATTCTTTTTATGTTTTATTTTCATGTTCAGTTCACTTAATTACGCTTAAAATATTGGCTTAAATATGATAGAAGGGAGAATTGAATGTAACATTGAGCTTCAATCAATCCCTACTATAGTCACGACTATAATATTTTAAGTATGCATTAAAAGGTGTCTGTAATCGAATATACTTGTCAAAAATGAATGTAGACATTAATAAATGCATTTCTGTAGCTTCCAATATATTTTTTACAATGGAGGAGCGAGTACCTAAATGGCTTCACAGGGGCTTCAGACATCTAAGGTTGATATATATCATTGGTCCTGACATCATCTACCAGTAATGTCCGCCACAGAATAAGGAACCGCAACAGAGATCATTGAGAGACATGAGATCAAGGAGCAGGGTTTTTCCCTAACATGTGACATTTTAATGTGTGACATATCATGGTGAACAGTGTGACATGGTGAAACTGTGGCTTGAAGAGGATGTGGGGTGGTTAAAATTGAAGATTACTAGAATGATCTACCATGACAGTCTCTCTAGACATGCCACCGAATAAGTAAGGGTTAGCTGTTGCACTCAGTGTACTCCACTCACCAGCCGCCACAGCTGACCACATGACGAAGAACATCCCCACTGCGATCCTCTTGAGGGAGGAGGGCAGCAGGCCTCTGCGTTTGAGGATGGGGTCCACCACTTTGTCCTTAAGGGGGATCAGCATGAGAATAAGCACTGCGTCGAACATTGTCAGCCAGGCAGCAGGGAAGCGGAACGTAATCTGCCAGGAATTCAGAGGAAGAAAAACATAAGAAAAAATATGTACAAGAAGTGCACAAAGCATGAAAAACAATAGAAAGAATGTCAGTGCACTCCAGTCCAGTTCCTCAGGGGTGAGAGTGGATGTGCTGATGGCCTCAACACTGTATTGGCGCCCTCAGGTGGATGGAACTAAAACTGAACCAAAACTCAAGTTACAAAGTTATAGTGGGAGAGGTGCCAATACAGTGTCGAGGCCATCAGTGGCAGAGGTACCCCAGTAGGCACACTTTAACATGGGTAAGGAAGCACATTAACCTTGGTAAGTGTTAATTAAGCAGAAAAATAGCCCAGACGAAAACAGCTCCTTATCCTGTAGCTACTCTTCCCTTGGACTGAGTATGCAGAGAAGACACCCTAAAAACACAGGTGGACCAAACTCTGGAAAGTGTTGGTTTTTACTCAAGAAGTCTCTGCACTTTGGAAGACTAATGAGTCATTAATCTTTTTCTTTCCTGCCCTTTGATAGGAGTTTCCTGGAAAAAGAAAACCACTACTCTGTAAGATACAGCTCAAATGTGTCCTCAGAAGCTAAGGAGCACAACATCACTAAGATATCTAATCTCACTTCCCTTTTCATTTTAAGGACTGCTTAGAGTAGGGTGAAAGCAGTTCCTTTTTTGGGGAAACCGAGATATTGCATGCTGAGAATGAAAAGAAGCAATTCAATTTCCAGTTTAATTGATAGTTGAAAATGTAAAGACCTTTTCATAAAATAACTTTTTGAAAAATGTCAATTTCAGCTTAAAGCTGTTTTGACAGATAGTATTGAAATACAAATGGAAAACAGAATGTGGCAGAATGCTTTTGCTCTTTTAGGTCTTATAGATGGTGGATGTTTCAGCACGCTAGAATGTGTTGTTAAAGAGCAAGTGTTTCAGTTCACATTTTACTCTACACTTCCCTTACCAAACGCCAGAGAGACACAACTGAATCTAAAAGTATCAAGTAGCAACAAACCCAAACCTCAACCAAACCACTCTTTAACAGGTGCTAGTCTCATACTCCTTTGAAGTCATACAGTATGCATATGTATTGTGGAATAGCCAAATACCTCAAATAGGCTACTCCCTGGGAGAAATCGTGGCACACACCGCAACAGATGGACTCTGGCCTAGTCTAGTCGGAGGCATCACCCAGGAACATTACAGTGGGGAAAAAAAGTATTTAGTCAGCCACCAATTGTGCAAGTTCTCCCACTTAAAAAGATGAGAGAGGCCTGTAATTTTCATCATAGGTACACGTCAACTATGACAGACAAATTGAGAAAGAAAAATCCGGAAAATCACATTGTAGGATTTTAAATGAATTTATTTGCAAATTATGGTGGAAAATAAGTATTTGGTCACCTACAAACAAGCAAGATTTCTGGCTCTCACAGACCTGTAACTTCTTCTTTAAGAGGCTCCTCTGTCCTCCACTCGTTACCTGTATTAATGGCACCTGTTTGAACTTGTTATCAGTATAAAAGACACCTGTCCACAACCTCAAACAGTCACACTCCAAACTCCACTATGGCCAAGACCAAAGAGCTGTCAAAGGACACCAGAAACAAAATTGTAGACCTGCACCAGGCTGGGAAGACTGAATCTACAGTAGGTAAGCAGCTTGGTTTGAAGAAATCAACTGTGGGAGCAATTATTAGGAAATGGAAGACATACAAGACCACTGATAATCTCCCTCGATCTGGGGCTCCACGCAAGATCTCACCCCGTGGGGTCAAAATGATCACAAGAACGGTGAGCAAAAATCCCAGAACCACACGGGGGGACCTAGTGAATGACCTGCAGAGAGCTGGGACCAAAGTAACAAAGCCTACCATCAGTAACACACTACGCCGCCAGGGACTCAAATCCTGCAGTGACAGACGTGTCCCCCTGCTTAAACCAGTACATGTCCAGGGCCGTCTGAAGTTTGCTAGAGTGCATTTGGATGATCCAGAAGAGGATTGGGAGAATGTCATATGGTCAGATGAAACCAAAATGTAACTTTTTGGTAAAAACTCAACTCGTTGTGTTTGGAGGACAAAGAATGCTGAGTTGCATCCAAAGAACACCATACCTACTGTGAAGCATGGGGGCTGTTTTTCTGCAAAGGGACCAGGACGACTGATCTGTGTAAAGGAAAGAATGAATGGGGCCATGTATCGTGAGATTTTGAGTGAAAACCTCCTTCCATCAGCAAGGGCATTGAAGATGAAACGTGGCTGGGTCTTTCAGCATGACAATGATCCCAAACACACCGCCCGGGCAACGAAGGAGTGGCTTCGTAAGAAGCATTTCAAGGTCCTGGAGTGGCCTAGCCAGTCTCCAGATCTCAACCCCATAGAAAATCTTTGGAGGGAGTTGAAAGTCCGTGTTGCCCAGCGACAGCCCCAAAACATCACTGCTCTAGAGGAGATCTGCATGGAGGAATGGGCCAAAATACCAGCAACAGTGTGTGAAAACCTTGTGAAGACTTACAGAAAACGTTTGACCTGTGTCATTGCCAACAAAGGGTATATAACAAAGTATTGAGAAACTTTTGTTATTGACCAAATACTTATTTTCCACCATAATTTGCAAATAAATTCATTAAAAATCCTACAATGTGATTTTCTGGATTTTTTTTTCTCATTTTGTCTGTCATAGTTGACGTGTACCTATGATGAAAATTACAGGCCTCTCTCATCTTTTTAAGTAGGAGAACTTGCACACTTGGTGTCTGACTAAATACTTTTTTTCCCCACTGTATTTGTCTGACAGAAACACAAGAGATACAATGAAAACCATAACGCTTATGTGATTAGGTCAAACTTTTGATTCAATCCTGTGGGCTTTAGCAACCTTGACTGCTTCCAGCTGTTGCCTCTGATGCTTTACAACTGTAATATTTAACCTTCAAGTTGGAGTAATGGCCAAAATGTGAGACTATCTAGCATTTATTCAGAGCAACAGTGACTATCATCATAGCAGAAATGCTGGCACACATACAGATACAGAACACAGCAGGGCCGGCGCCAGAGTGAATCAGTTGGACAGGCATTTGATTTCTATAGCGGGGCACATTTTTTTAACAGGACCTTTTAAATGGGTTTTATAGTAAAGACATGTAATTTAACTGTAAAAATGTATTACCTTTTAATGTGGCCTGAACAACCAGTCATGATGTTTTCATCTCATTGTGAAACAATTCACTTCATAGGCGGCATGCGAGTTTCAAGTTTGGGGAAGCTTACAATTTATCCTACTATTTCTACCGATCTGCGGGTCAGTTATGATTTTCATATGCACATTTTTCAAAATCATGTGTGACTTGGTTTATTATAAAAATCTGAATTTAAAATGATACAAATCTAAAAGTTAAAATTCAACTAATGTGTCCATACGCCAGTCTCTGCCATATGGACACATTGATGCACAGTGAACCATTGGCGGCTAAAGAAATGAGTGCATGCATGGAACTCAGGAGATAGCCTAGAGCAGGGATCATCAACTTGATGGGGGCCAAATAAAACCACCCGCGGCCAAATTCGGCCCGCGGGCCGCCAGTTGGGGAACGCTGGCCAAGAGGCCAATGCAGCAGTAGGCCTACAGTGAGGGAAAAAAGTATTTGATCCCCTGCTGATTTTGTAAGCTTGCCCACTGACAAAGACATGTTCAGTCGATAATTTTAATGGTAGGTTTATTTGAACAGTGAGAGACAGAATAACAACAAAAAAATCCAGAAAAACGCATGTCAAAAATGTTTTAAATTGATTTGCATTTTAATGAGGGAAATAAGTATTTGACCCCTCTGCAAAACATGACTTAGTACTTGGTGGCAAAACCCTTGTTGGCAATCACAGAGGTCAGACGTTTCTTGTAGTTGGCCACCAGGTTTGCACACATCTCAGGAAGGATTTTGTCCCACTCCTCTTTGCAGATCTTCTCCAAGTCATTAAGGTTTCGAGGCTGACGTTTGGCAACTCAAAACTTCAGCTCCACAGATTTTCTACTGGCTAGGCCACTCCAGGACCTTAATGTGCTTCTTCTTGAGCCACTCCTTTGTTGCCTTGGCCGTGTGTTTTGGGTCATTGTCATGCTGGAATACCCATCCACGACCCATTTTCAATGCCCTGGCTGAGGGAAGGAGGTTCTCACCCAAGATTTGACGGTACATGGCCCCGTCCATCGTCCCTTTGATGCGGTGTTGTTGTCCTGTCCCCTTAGCAGAAAAACACCCCCAAAGCATAATGTTTCCACCTCCATGTTTGACGGTGGGGATGGTGTTCTTGGGGGTCATAGGCAGCATTCCTCATCCTCCAAACACGGCAAGTTGAGTTGATGCCAAAGAGCTCGATTTTGGTCTCATCTGACCACAACACTTTCACCCAGTTCTCCTCTGAATCATTCAGATGTTCATTGGAAACCTTCAGATGGCCCTGTATATGTGCTTTCTTGAACAGGGGGACCTTGCGGGCGCTGCAGGATTTCAGTCCTTCACGGCGTAGTGTGTTACCAATTGTTTTCTTGGTGACTATGGTCCCAGCTGCCTTGAGATCATTGACAAGATCCTCCCGTGTAGTTCTGGGCTGATTCCTCACCGTTCTCATGATCATTGCAACTCCACGAGGTGAGATCTTGCATAGAGCCCCAGGCCGAGGGAGATTGACAGTTCTTTTGTGTTTCTTCCATTTGCGAATAATCGCACCAACTGTTGTCACCTTCTCACCAAGCTGCTTGGCGATGGTCTTGTAGCCCATTCCAGCCTTGTGTAGGTCTACAATCTTGTCCCTGACATCCTTGGAGAGCTCTTTGGTCTTGGCCATGGTGGATAGTTTGGAATCTGATTGATTGCTTCTGTGGACAGGTGTCTTTTATACAGGTAACAAGCTGAGATTAGGAGCACTCCCTTTAAGAGTGTGCTCCTAATCTCAGCTCGTTACCTGTATAAAAGACACCTGGGAGACAGAAATCTTTCTGATTGAGAGGGGGTCAAATA